AGATTTTTTATTTAATAAATATATTTCAAATAATGTTCGTATTTATTTATTTTTTACTATAAATATATTCGCCAAATATATTTAAAAGTAAAAAATCTAAATATACGTTATAAATCTATTATATTATATGTATGTATAAATAATATACGAATCGGATCGGATATTCGAATTTTTAAAAGTAGTATTTGTGTTTTGCTTCGATTTAGACAGATATTAAATTTTATTATTTGTTTCGATTTGATTCAAAACGGATATCCGGATTTTTCGGATCGGATCAAAACGAATACCGAATCGGATCGAATTTAACCGAAAATTTGCCCATCCCTAGTAACATGTAAACTTACTAATGAAAAGCACATTTTAAAAACAAAATTAAGATTGAAAAACTGATTGGTAATAGATCAAATATTTTATTTATTCATTGAACAAACCATGATTAGATTTCCTTTTTCTTTTGGTGGGCTACCATGACATGATTTCAATTCTTTTACATCACAATTCAACTTTTTAGAATTTCAATTCAAAAGTAAGAAAGAAAAATGATTTGGCTTAGGAAATATACGGATCTTGTCCCAAATTTTGTAGTTGTGTTTACAAAAACGAAGATTTGCTGGTTTACACTTTTTAAAACAAAAATTAAACATTTGCATGGAAAAACTATATACCAAATTTTTATATAACCAAATAATAATACACATCGGGCAGATTTTTTTCCGTCTGTGGTCAGATATTTTCTGTTTATAATTTTATTTTATTTGTCAACATTAGATTATTTTTTCTGTTTATATTAAAAAGACTAAATTTGGAATTATCGTAAAAAATGAAAACGTTTTAAACATTTTTAAATTGGTTATTACTCTCTCGAATTAGTTAGTTTAGTTAAACTACAAAAGTTTTGGAGACGTGAGAGAGTGAGTCATCATGACAGTCCACGTGGACAGCTAGCAACCGGCCCACAAACCACGGACGGACGTTAAATTCCCGTCGGCAAAACACGTGATTCCTTTGAACATCTGTCACTTTTCTACTTTCTTAAGGTAAACATCTCAACCCCAAAATTAAACATTATTTACACTTTAACCCCAAGACTTTTGACATTACAATCTCACCTTCTACTGTTTATAAATTAAAAAATTCCCACGATTCGGCAACGCGTCAAGGAAAAACAAAAAAAAAGCTTGAGTCTTCCATTGCCATGGGCGCTTAAGCTTTATATACTCAAGATTATATATCTCTCGAGACGCCGATTTAGGTTCGTTTTGTTGTAATGGAGATTGCTACTGTCGTTAAGGCTAATGGAGGTTGTGAAGCGGATCGACGACGGCTTCACCGATTGAGATGCTCTGTAAAAGATTACGATTGGGGCAAAATTGGGTCGGATTCACTCGTTTACAGGGTTTATGCGGCGAACTCAGATTACCAGATCGATTCGACACGACCGTACGCTGAGCTTTGGATGGGTACACACGAGTCCGGTCCGAGTTACTTGGCGGATGCTGATGGGTCCAATGGTGAGATGAGTCTTAGATCGTGGATTAACGAAAACCCTAAATCTATTGGACAAAGGGTTTTGGAGAAATGGGGTTGCGATCTCCCTTTCCTGTTCAAGGTAGGTACATTGTTCAATTTTCTCAAAATTCTCTGCATTTTTACGATTTGCAGAACGACATTAATCATAGAATTGTGTTTTGATTTTGGTCATTTGGTCTTGTTACTGCAAAATTCTTATGTTATGAGTTGCAGAAATGTGATTTTGAATATTGGGAAATTTTGATAGGTGTTGTCGGTGGCAAGACCTTTGTCGATTCAAGCACATCCAGATAAGAATTTAGCAAAGAAAATGCACAAAGCTCATCCAAATCTTTATAAAGACGACAATCATAAACCAGAGATGGCTTTGGCTTATACACAATTCGAGGCTCTGTGTGGGTTTATACCTCTTCAGGTATCATTTCTGTGTTGGCACTGTTTTTATTGTTCTTCAAGTTTTTTGTACATGGCCCACTTAGTTTCCAAAATTTCGACAAATATAAAACATGTTGTTTGTTCTGTTCATCTAATTTTCATGATGAGAATCGGTTAACATGGGTGATGGTTAGAGACTCTAGTGTCTCTTTCTTGATTGCTCTAAGTTTGTGCCTAAGGTTTGAGATTGAATTTCGATGAAGAAATCTTTTGGTTCGTTCATTCTGTTGCATATGATTCGTATAGCAGTTTACTCTTTTCCTTTGGATATATCTCATCAGATATGAACTCACTTTGACAATAAATTGGTTTTGGAGAGTAGCTTTACGAATCTCTTTTTACAAGTTATTCAGTTTGCAAACTCCATAATTGGTGGCCTATTTTTGAAAAATTGAAATATTTAAGTTTCTTCTTGTCGATTGTTGCAGGAGCTTAAGAGTGTCATTCGGGCTATTCCGGAGATTGAAGAACTTGTTGGCAGTGAAGAAGCAAACCAAGTTTTCTGCATCAGTGAACATGATGAGGAGAAAGTGAAATCTGTTGTCCGGACAATCTTCACCTTGCTAATGTCTGCAGGTCCTGATACAACAAAGAAAATCGTATTCAAACTAAAACGCCGTCTGCATATGGAGAGTCAGGTCAGCTATCTAACTTCCCTGTTACCATCTGGCTCAAATTGTTTTTTTTTTTTCTTTCTATTGATTCCTTCTCATACTCAACTGCCTTGTAGAATGCCACTGTCTGAAACCTTTCCTTGCGATTTATGCAGGAACGCCAATTGACAGACAAGGAACGGCTAGTTTTGAAGCTAGAGAAGCAATATCCAAATGATATTGGGGTCATATCTGCATTCTTTTTCAACTATGTGAAGCTCAACCCTGGAGAAGCCTTGTACCTCGGTGCAAATGAGCCCCACGCATACTTATTCGGTGAGTGCCTCGAGGTCATGGCGACTTCAGACAATGTAGTACGAGCTGGCCTCACTTCCAAGCCACTGGATATTCAAACACTTTGTTCAATGCTCTCATATAAACTGGTAAACCTCCAAACTCAAGCTATACACCGAGACGTACAAAAAATGTTTGCAGCTTGGTGGTTACTGAGTTCTCATTTCTTATTTTCAGGGCTATCCTGAAATCCTAAAGGGATCGAGGATTCGACCATACATCACAAGATACCTTCCGCCTTTCGAGGAGTTTGAAGTTGATATCTGTGACCTTCCCCGTGGAGCCTCGACGGTGTTTCCCTCAGTTCCAGGCCCTTCTCTTCTGCTTGTGCTTCAAGGTGAGGGAAGAATGTCTACTGAAGTTTCAGCAGATGAGATTTCAATGGGAGATGTTCTTTTTGCCCCTGCTGATACCGAGATTCACTTGAGATCTTCATCTGATTTGAAGCTGTACAGAGCAGGAATAAACAGTAGGTTTTTGTATCCTCTATAGTGAAAAAACTACACAAGTTTTTTTTTCAGTTATTTTATGATTAAATTAAAAAGTGGCATATACACTTTTGTGCCCAGAAGTTACAAGTTTGAATGGAAATTTTTTTTGTAATCATGTTATCTGAAACAGTGAATTCTTGAAGAACGCAAGAAAGACATTCTTAAATAGAATTTTGAAGAAAATTGTTACGTACTGAAACATGAAAATCATTTCCAAAAGAGTTTTTACTCCCAAAACATAATTAAAAAAGCTCTTTATCCGACAAAAAAAGGATCAAACAAACATTCATTTCTTCAACCATCTGTGATTGGGTACTCGAAAACTACATCTCTCCCTGTAAGCTTCCTGTACACACCCACCATTGTCTCAAGCTTGTATTCAGTGTTGTTCCTCTCCTTAGGCTCCAGGAAGACCTGGTAAGAGTATGAAGCGTGTTAAGGAACAACTTAAAGCATTAGAAGAAAATCAATGTAAGTGTTAGCATTTTAACTACCTTGGTGATCTTGGTGCCATCGAGACGGTATCTGGTTCTCTTTCCGACAATCTCAGCAGGGTAAGCAACATCCTCAAGCATAGCTTCGTGGACAGAAGTGAGAGTTCTGTTGCGTGGTCTCTGAACAGCTGAGCCTTTCTTTGGGGGACGCATGATTCTTCTGGTGGCAACAAAGATAACATCTTTTCCACTGAACTTCTTCTCGAGCTCTCTGACAAGACGAGGATGAATCTTGCGGAAAGCTTTCCTCAATCTGAATGGAACGTAGATCACAACAGCCTTACGGTTGCCAGAGATATCCATGTGCCTGCACAGAAAGAAGAGATATGTCAATCGAGTAACCATACTTAAGATCCTTGAATCCATGAAAAAAATGATTACATACACTGCTTGGTTAATGTACAGATCTTTCAAGTCACTTTTCAACTCCTGGTTGGTGTTCTCCAAGTCAAAGAAAGCCTGCAAAAAAAAAAGAAATCAACATTCAAATCAATGAACCATCTAAGAAAGAAACCAAGACATTCACAAGATGAAGACAATAAGACACCAAAGAAATGAGGCAAGAACCTGAGCAACTTGCTCTTCAAACTCAGTTGGTGCCACACCCTTATCCTTCTGGATCTTGTTCTGAGCAGAAAACATCTTTGCAGTTTCTACAACAGTGACAATATATCACACAAAAACAAGCCGATCAACATTTGGTAACATGAATAACTTTCATTATTGAAATGGGACTTTAAAACTGGAAGAATGTAATTGGACCCTTCTAAAGCATTAACGAAAATATACAAACACACTGATAAAGTGACATTTCTATCAAATTCTCAAATATAAAAACACTTCATCAAATACTTTTCAGTTGAACAAAATGCAACTCAAACGTTCGAAATTACAAGATTTCAGAACTATTCATCCAAAAACTCCAAATGAGAACATTTATCAAGTTGATGAGCAAAGCAAATAAAGAAACAGCTCATAACCCTAGAAGGAAGTTCTTAATTCGCTAGTGAGTATAACCTACATTCCTCCATTGATTACAAAAGCTAGCCAGATCACTCTAATAGAACCCTAATCAAACCCATGAATCACAACTCTCACTAAAGCTAATATCTTCCTCCAAACAACTTGAGAGAGCAAATTAAATTCAGAAAACATCGATTAGCCTCCAAAAAGCAGACCCGCTCCTTGATATCCGCAGAAACAACACTACATAGAAAGGAATCCATTGATGCTTACCAGTTAACAACGACGAAACAACCCTAGAAGGTGAAAAATGTTTACGGCTGTATCAGAGCTTCGCGTTCGAGAGGCAGCACAAATCTGGTGAAGCAAAGGTTTAAATACTAAGGGTTTTCTTTAGATCCCTATTTTGGACGGTCTGGATTTTATCATGACTGATGGATGTTTATACCCAAACTGGGCCGTTGATAGGTTACTAAAACTAATGGGCTTAATATAAATTATTTTTCAGGTTAGCCCAATAAGTAGCTCTGAAGAAAAATGTATAATTGTTTTCTTCGTCGACCAGAAAATATAGAATTATAAAAATCTTTTGGATGGACAGAGATAGCGTAATTAGATAATGATTATTAAATTTCTTTGACAAAACTTAAGCACTTTAAACGTGAAAAGCATTAAGAATTAAGCTACCATACAAAATCCTTAAAGCTTAGTGCTTATCTTGTTCCAATTCGTCTAATTCTAAATTTATCTCGATATATACGAAAAAAAAAAATCTAACAAAAATAAGAATTATTTGATTTTCTTTTGTCACTTGAACCTTCTAATATATGAATATAGTTTTATGCTTAGAGTCTAAAATTTTGCTTCAAATGTGGTGAATGCTTAGAATGTACCGTACGCACTAACGGTTTATCAACTCTTTTGACTATTCAAAAACAAACAAATTAAAAAAAATGTTTGATGGTTTCTTTATTAGTTACACAAATTAAACGACATGCGAGCATATTTAATGTGTATATAGTATCAATTACATATTAACGACAACGTGATTAAGCAAATAATCTCTTATCGTTTCACCAAAACACGACATCGTTTTGCTACGCAAAAACCTTATTCGCATTTTGTTCTCATCAACATCTATAAAAGTAAAAGTCATAGCCGCTCTGTTTCTTTCTCCTCTTTCGCTTACCCTTATTGCCGCTGTTTCGTCGTGATTTTTCTTTAGGTATAAT